CGCTGCTGCTACTTTAGCAGCAGCAGCAACAGCAGCAGCCGCAGCAGCAGTTTTGCTGCACTTGTGTTTTGGGGTTTTGCTGCGCAGGGAAAGTCCGGCTGTGGCGGCTTCTGCCTTCTTGGTGGTTCAGCGTGGGGTGTATAGACACCGGAAGCAGAGTGACCCTTGTGAAGTTCCTCACTTGTGGCTTTCCTGCAGCAGCAACAGCAAAAACAGCAGCAACAGCAAAAGCAGCAGCAGCAGCACGCTCATTTGGAGCAGCAGCAGCAGACGCAGCGGGCGCGGACAGCTGTGCAGCAGCAGCAGCCGCCGCTGCAAGTGCAGCTGCTGCTGCAGCAGCAAGGGAACGGGAGGAAGCAGAAACAGCAGCAGCAGCGGAAGAGCTGCTGCTGGTTTGCTGCGACAGAGACCTTCGGGTTTACTCGCTGCAGCAAATACTCACAAGTGCAGCAGCAAATCCGGGGGGCCTCCTTTCCGTGGCGCCGCTGCAGGCGTACCCATGGGGCCCCGTCTTCTTCCCGCATGCAATAGACATTGCTGAGGTGCGGCTTTGTGCTGCTGCTGCTGCTGCTGTTACTGCTGCAGCTTCTGCTGCTGTTACTGCTGCTGCTACTGCTGCTGGGGCAGCGCTCAGAGCTGCCATTTTGGGCGCCGGCGGCTCTGCTGGTTTTCTGCAGCTGTCGCCCTTGTTGCTGTTCCTGCTGCAGCTCTCGCTGCTGCTGTTGCTGCTGCAGGAACAGCAGCAACAAGAGCAGCAGCATTCTTGGGGCTGCTTCCTTGTGTATCTGTTGCTTGCGGCGCCTTCTTGTCTCTTTCCGGATTTGGTTGTTTCCTGCTAGCTCCTTGGGCACCTCTCTGTCCCTGGATTTCCTTGCTGCTTCTGCTGCTGCTGCTGCTGCTGCTGCTGCTGAGCTGCTGCGCTGGGGGCAGCCAGGAAGCGTGTCTGTGGGCTGGGGTGTACGTACAGGGCAACTGTGGGGCCCCCTGGGGTCACCTGGTGGCTTTGGGCCTCGACGAAGATTCCTCTGCAGAAGAAAGTAGTGATGAAGAAATGGGGGGCCCCCATTTCTCGGGGGGCCCCCCTCGAAGGGAGGGGGCCCCCCGGCGAGAGGGGCCCCCGCGGCGGGAGGGGCCTCGCAGCAGCAGCTGGGGGGCGGACGCCCGGGCTGGACAGAGCCCGTTCCTGCTGCAGCAGCAGCAGCACGGCCCGCAGCAACAGCAGCAGCAACACGCGCAGCAGCAGCACAGAAGGCGCTTCAGAAAGAGAAGCAAAACCCTTTTGTTTTCTGTGCCCTCAGCAGCAGAAGTTGCCCGCCTCTTAACTGAGCAGACGCCTCAGCCCCTTCCGGTCTTTGCTGACCTTTCCGGCAAGTGCTGCTGCTGCTGCTGCTGCTGCTCCCGTTGCAGCGGCTGGGGGGGGG